TCAGAGGCGAGCCTGGTTAGTATTCGAGTAGGCACACTATCATGGCATACCAGATGTTATAGGTGTTCTAGCTGTCGGGCTGCGTGGTAGTGTTGTGACGGTTAGCGCACTGCACTACAAACCCGGTACCCGAATTCGATTCCCGCTCACGGCCAACACAAGTGACGATGATCAGAATCAGTTCTGGGCCTCCCCTAGGTCGACTAAGCCTCAAATGAGTACCTGGTGTGGTGTGTAAACATTGCCACTGCGGAGACAAAGGTGTGTGGTGCTGGCCTCCCACCCCCTCGTGTGCCGTTTTAGGCCCTCATAGGTGCTCGCTAATAGCACTTTCCCCAATAGTCTGTTCAGGCTATTCGGGGGATATTTGTCTTTGGTGTGGCCAGGAGGTGGCAGTGCTGCACATTTCACCCTCTGGTCCCAGAACATTGTCTTTGGGCACTTACTTCCTCCCGCATGAAACCAAACACTCACTTTCAGCCTTAACCCAGTTGTTACGACTATTGCATTAAAATCAATGTCAATCAACTGACCAAATGAGAGGCCACTGATATTTGTCGTACTATTGTAAGATAGATGTGTAAAAGCATGAGGTGAATAAGAAACTACAGTAGTCCCTCGGTTAACAGTGACATCAGTTAACTAATGGTTTTTCGGTAAACGTTTCGCCTCTCATAGGATCCCAATGGTTCGACTGACGTAAACATTTAGATGAACGGTATATTTACCTAATCTTGATTTGACTCATGACTACAGGAATCCACACTCTGTGGTTCTTTCGGTAAAGTCAAGTAGGTATAAAATAAATCACGACGTTTTGATTGCAACACAAGCAATCATCATCAAGTGGGAAAACCACAGCAAGAAATTTGTTTTGCTGAAGTTGGAGAGAGTGGCAAGAGGTTATATAGTAAGAAAGCGGGGAGGGGCAAGGGGGGAGAGAGAGGGGCGTGGGGTAGGGGGAGGGGAGCGCTGCGTGAGCACTAGGGGGAGAGGGGACGCGAGGCAGGGGGGGGGAAGTGGGCAGGGCTAGAAGTGGGAAGCCGAAAGAGCTGGGGATGCGTGGGGGAAATTAACTCGGAAAAATAGGCAATATCCTGGAGTTTACAAACTGAGTTGTACCTGTGGTAGCAGTTACATTGGGGAAACGAAACAACATGTCTCGGACCCTGTCCGCTAACACAAAGCAGATCTGAAACACGACAGAAGCAATTCCTCTGCTATGGCTGACCATTGTTATAACGCTGTGGGCTCGCATGATATTGTTTTTTCCGAGACCAAGGTACTCTGCAAACCTTCGGGCTACTATCAAAGGTTTGTTCATGAAGCCATCCAGATATATAAACATATAAACATACAGATCTTCAACCGAGAAGATGGATACAAATTGAGCAATCATTGGAAGGATGTTATTAACCAGGAAAAACCTTAACTGCTTTATGGTTGTTGTCTATATCTGCCGGGTACTGGTCTATTTTTCCAAGTTAACTTCCCCCCCGCAACCCCAGCTCTCTCGGCCTCCCACTTCTAGCCCCACCCACTACCCCCTCCAGCCTCGCGTCCCCTCTCTCCCTAGCGCTCACGCAGCACTCCCCTACCCCCCTCTCCCCCCTTGCCCCTCCCCCCTTTCTTACCTATATAACCTCCTGCCACGGCAGCTCTCTCTCCCACTTCAGCAAAACAAATTATTGCTGTGGTTTTCCCACCTGATGATGATTGCTTGTGTTGCAATCAAAACGTCGTTATTTATGTTATTTTATACCTACGTGAATTTACCAAAAGAACCAAAGAGTATGGTATGTTTACCGTATGCATGCAGGTTTCCAATTTCGGCCAATCCAAGCACTCGTTGGTGGACTGAGCCATGCCTCAGCCAACCAGCCACACCCATTTATAAGCGCTACGAACCTCGAGACTGGCTTCGCTGACATTGCGTTTTCTGATGTGGGCTGTGGAAACCGTTCTCTCTTACAGACCGTGTGATTTTTTACCTATCTTTTCATTTATAAATAAATTTGATTAACATCTATTTCGGTAAACAGTAGTTTTTCACAGTAGGGCGTGCGATTTTGCTTGTGTGTGAGGAGTGGTAGTGCAGTGGTTAGCGCACCGCGCTACAAACCCATTGACCCGAGTTCAATTCCCACTCACGGCCAAGAACAGTAACGATTATGTGAACCGGTCATGGGCCTCCCCTAGGTCGACTCAGCCTTAAATGAGTCCCAGGTGTGATGTATAAACATCACTACTGGGGAGACAAAGGCATTCGGGCGTGGTATTGGACACCGACCCCCTCGTGTACAGTTCCGGCCTTCATAGGGGCTCGCTAACAACACTTGCCCCAACAGTCTGTTAAAGGCTCTATGGAATATCTTTGTATTTGTACTTTTGTAGGTAATTTTTAAACATTGGGAAGTTTGGCCAATGCCAGTTACATTGGTTTTATTTTTTTGTTATCTATGGGAGAAGGAAATCGGAGTAACCGGAGGCACCAAGGTGGGAATCGGACCCAGGCGCTTCTAGCTGCGAGGCGCAAGCATCACCACTGCACCGCCACCAAAAGTAACGCTCATCAACAACATCTCAACCGCCAGCCACCATCCTGGCTAGCTTAACATGTACATTTTCGAGATCAATGTTCTTATTGTAATCATTTATTTTTAGGTTAGGCCACAATATCCTAACCAATTTTTTTATGTTCCACCACTCATCGCAGCCCAAAAACCAAAATTGCCACGTGCAAGCGTTTAACCAAGCGCCAGTTAGGATTGTTTCTGTTCTCTTACTGTGGGTCAAGAGCGACTCTCATAAACCAGGCTTAGCAGCAATTAGATACATCACATTTCATCCAAAACTTCATCAAACACCACCACTACGACGAGATCCAGGAAGGTATGAATCATCATGTCACCTGATCTGGCTTCTTAAACAGGGGTCAAGACCTCACAAGAACAACCAATTAGATTCAAACTGGACATAAACCATTACAAATACATTTCTACCAAATATCATTTATGAGGCCCACTGATTCACATTCCATGCATCAGCTATATGCATAATTTACAAGTATCCATTCGTCACGCTCTATATTTCCCAAGCAGAACGTCGAAAGCACAAAATTACATTCCATGCAAATTGTCGCATTTGGGAATATCTAACATTTTTTACCCTGAAGTTCAAGAAAAAATAGACCCACAGCACATACAGTCTTCCTAAAGACCATAAAACAAGGACAATACGTTTTTGAATTGGGTCTGTATTGGGTCCAATACAAACCAATCAGGAACCCATCTTCAGAAGGAAGTTCCTGACAATTAAATGCGGACTTCCATGATCAAAAAATCTCATGGAAGATGAGGGTTCAATACAAACCAATGGGAGCCAAAACTTTCTGGAAGAGTAACTTTTTATTGGTAGAATCATCCAGAAGTTGGGCTCTTCACTGGTTTATGTTTATACCCTGTCCACGTCACTTCATCGTCCCTTAAACAACGCCAAGGGTTTCGCCGGGGTGACTTCACTCCACAGGGCTGAACGACAACGCGATGACGCCATCATAATTAACGCCGACTCTTATATCTAGGCACATGCAGGCAAGGGTGTAGCAGAGACGTCATCACATCAAACATCTGCACGTTGACGTTACGCGCATCCCACAGTGCTGAGTCCGCTTCGTGCGAAAACTAAAACTAATCTTTTTATTTTACCATGTAAGGCCCACGAAGCTATATAGCTCTTTTGCAGAAGCGACCTGGCCACAAATGATAGCTCAACGAAGCGGCTTATCACGTGGAAATATATAGCAGCCAAATACTCTAAATGCATGTTGATTCTAAATGTGGAAGGAAAAACTGGAGGACCCGGAGAAAATTCCACATCACCACGGAGAGAGAGAGAGACATGCAAACTCCAAAGATACAACATGAGTCAGGGTCAGGATCGAACACACGAGGTAGTTAACATCTCGCTCCGACCCCCCACCCCGGTCGTATATCCCGCAGTCCTCGTTCATTATAACTGTGCACGATTATATAGGCCCACAGCAGGATCACAGTGTGACACGGACTGAAGGAATAAAGTTTTACAAATTATAAAACAGTTGATTCTTGAATATATCACCTACTCTTTCATAATTAATTCAAGTGCAGATTTTCCTTTGTAGACATCAGACTGTCAATAAAGGAAGATAAATTACCTGCACATACGTTATACAAAGCAACACTCAATCCTACCGACGATGCACGTCTCACCCTGCCCACACCAAGACAGCAGTACCTTACTCTTTGGTTCTATTGGGTAAAGTCACGTAGGTAAAAATAAAATAACAAAAATCACGACGTTTCGACCACAACACACTTGTGTTCTATTGGGTAAAGTCATAACAAAAATCACGACGTTTCGACCACAACACAAGTGTGTTGTGGTCGAAACGTCGTGACTTTTGTTATTTTATTTTTTACCTACGTGACTTTACCCAATAGAACCAAAGAGTATGGATCCTTGCAGTCACGAAAGCTTTAATTCTAGAACAGCAGTTCCTTTGTGTAAGTTTTTATAAGTGTTCACAAGCCTATGCAGCGACGATGGGGATATCTACAAGGCTAATGTCAGGCTGCTCTGCAGCTCGCAAGTTCCCTGTAAACAAATCGAGATGTGCCCACCAGCGTGTCATCTTAGTGGACCTAACGAAACAGGACGGGGGTCACATTCAAAGCAAATGCAGCCCCCGTCAGAGCTTACCATGAAGACAGTTCAACCCCCACAGCCTTCAGAATCTTGACACAAACACCGTGACCGTTTGCACAGAACTGTCTCTCTTTGCATTTTGCAGACACCAAGCCCAGTGTGATGACTCGCGCATAGTTCTGGCGCTCGTTGAAAAGCACTTGCCCCATTTATATCACCCGACCCACATGCCATACCCAGGCCCGAAGCACTGGGCATAGGACAGGAATAAAATGCCGAAAAGATACCGTAGACAGAAGAGCACGGACTCTCACCGGCATCTCTCGCGGTGTCATCGTCGTCCTCCTCTTCCTCATCCTCTTCTGACTCCTCTTCTTCCTCTTCCTCCTCCTCGGAATCCAGGTTGGACTCACTCCCGGAGTACGACTCGTCCTCCATGCCGGCAAGGCTTGCAGTCCTCAGGGCCAGCATTCCATGACTCCAGGCCGACCGCTGCAGCCGCCCAATCCCACTGCAAGCGCACGAGCCCTGCACGCACACACAGCCCAACAGAAACATTATTACTGTGAACATGCACCCTACTCACCCAAGCAAATTTGTCCCCATACATGCTCACAGTCCAGAAACGAACACGTGCACAGCTCCCAACACTTAAATCCATGCTCATAACACACGCGTGAGCAGATACATTGTAGTGAGCGACTTCTGAGACACAACGTGTAGAGGGATTCTTATTTATTTCTCACACTTCAGGCACAATCACTGGGCGACACATATATACACATGGCTACGCATAGCCGACCCATCTACACAGCCCCATCGTCGGAGTCCAACTACAGTGAGGGGAAAAAAGTATTTGATCCCCTGCTGATTTTGTACGTTTTCCCACTGACAAAGAAATAATCAGTCTATAATTTTAACGGTAGGTTTAATTGAACAGTGAGAGACAGAATAACAACAACAAAATCCAGAAAAACGCATGTCAAAAATATTATGAATTGATTTGCATTTTAATGAGGGAAATAAGTATTTAACCCCTCTGCAAAACATGACTTCGTACTTGGTGGCAAAACCCTTGTTGGCAATCACAGAGGTCAGACGTTTCTTGTAGTTGGCCACCAGGTTTGCACACATCTCAGGAGGGATTTTGTCCCACTCCTCTTTGCAGATCTTCTCCAAGTCATTAAGGTTTCGAGGCTGACGTTTGGCAACTCGAACCTTCAGCTCCCTCCAGAGATTTTCTATGGGATTAAGGTCTGGAGACTGGCTAGGCCACTCCAGGACCTTAATGTGCTTCTTCCTGAGTCACTCCTTTGTTGCCTTGGCCGTGTGTTTTGGGTCATTGTCATGCTGGAATACCCATCCACGACCCATTTTCAATGCCCTGGCTGAGGGAAGGAGGTTCTCACCCAAGATTTGACGGTACATGGCCCCGTCCATCGTCCCTTTGATGCGGTGAAGTTGTCCTGTCCCCTTAGCAGAAAAACACCCCCAAAGCATAATGTTTCCACCTCCATGTTTGACGGTGGGGATGGTGTTCTTGGGGTCATAGGCAGCATTCCTCCTCCTCCAAACACGGCGAGTTGAGTTGATGCCAAAGAGCTCCATTTTGGTCTCATCTGACCACAACACTTTCACCCAGTTGTCCTCTGAATCATTGAGATGTTCATTGGCAAACTTCAGACGGGCATGTATATGTGCTTTCTTGAGCAGGGGGACCTTGCGGGTGCTGCAGGATTTTAGTCCTTCACGGCGTAGTGTGTTACCAATTGTTTTCTTGGTGACTATGGTCCCAGCTGCCTTGAGATCATTGACAAGATCCTCCTGTGTCGTTCTGGGATGATTCCTTACAGTTCTCATGATCATTGCAACTCCACGAGGTGAGATCTTGCATGGAGCCCCAGGCCGAGGGAGATTGACAGTTCTTGTGTTTCTTCCATTTGCGAATAATCGCACCAACTGTTGTCACCTTCTCACCAAGCTGCTTGGCAATGGTCTTGTAGCCCATTCCAGCCTTGTGTATGTCTACAATCTTGTCCCTGACATCCTTGGAGAGCTCTTTGGTCTTGGCCATGGTGGAGAGTTTGGAATCTGATTGATTGCTTCTGTGGACAGGTGTCTTTTATACAGGTAACAAGCTGAGATTAGGAGCACTCCCTTTAAGTGTGCATCCTAATCTCAGCTCGTTACATGTATAAAAGACACCTGGGAGCCAGAAATCTTTCTGATTGAGAGGGGGTCAAATACTTATTTCCCTCATTAAAATGCAAATCAATTTATAAAAATTTTGACATGCGTTTTTCTGGATGTTTTTTGTTGTTATTCTGTCTCTCACTGTTCAAATAAACCTACCATTAAAATTACAGACTGATCATTTCTTTGTCAGTGGGCAAACGTACAAATCAGCAGGGGATCAAATACTTTTTTCCCTCACTGTATATAGCTGACTGATATAGCGACGATGACAATGGGAGGTGTGCAGAGTATCGGCCATGTGGCCAGACGATGAAGAGAGATGACGACGAAGACAGCGACGGCAGCCCGAACCCTTATATACTTCCCGGCGTGGCCAAGCCCCGCCTCCGGCCACGCCCCGCGTCCGGCCACGCCCCCTTCTAGAACCTTCGAGCAGGTTCTCGGAGCTTCCCGACTGACCCTGCCTTTAACCTTTAAGCAAGTAATGCCCACCTAGTTGGCTATTATATAACACACCCATACTCGTGATTACCTCTCCTGGTCAACAGATGGCACCTTGTCACTACACGTGTAGTGCTAATACCGTGATCCAGGGATAGAAATACCCACGGGATCCCAGGTTACACTTGAGACGACGTCATAAAGGAAAGTAAAGAGAAGGCGGAGCGTGGGAGAGAGGGAACGCCCAGGGAGAGAATGGTGATGTCACCGGATGAGGTGGGGCGATCAGCACGCTTCCTGGTGGGATTTGGAGTGGAGTGGTCGCACGTGGCGTGAGCTTGTGCAGAAAATAATGAAGAGTGCGTTGTCTCAATCTTCATCTGTTGGTGGCAACAGTGGAATCGCGAAGATGCCTCGACGCAGTAACAGAAAAGGACCCCGATCGAAACCCCAGCGAAGAGAGAGAAGAACGCGCACACCTCCACTCCCAGCACCCCAGACACCCGTGATCCGAAGACAGCCAGGTCTACAGACGGGATCAGGACGGCTCCCCAAACCGTAAGGAAGATGGCGAAAGGCGAGGAGCGACTCGTCTGAGAGCCCTCCACTCCGCAAGAGAAGGAGGCCCTGGGCGGACCGAGCCGATCAACTCACGGAGGCGGTAACGCTACTCCTGCAACAGTTGCGGGAAGAAAAGATGGCTGATAATCTTGCGATGGCGTCCACGGCGGCTTCTTTTTCTTCACCCTCGGTTCGAGCGGGAATGCCATGAGCATCAGCAACAGTTGAGATGGTCGCCGCCCACAATGAAGCGTGGGAGACATCGGCGCCGTGGACGGAGGAGCCAGTGCTGTTGACGGGTAAAAGCGCGGCACCATGACCGACGGAATCCACCCTCCCCGGGCCGGCAAGCCCATCGGAGGCTTCGAAACGGACAGAAAAACAAGGGGATGGAAAAGGGCAACCTCCAGAGAGAGTAGAAATAAATTTGGTGGGAGCAACATCGATAGCCACCATCGGTGCAGAATTGGCACGAAACACGCCAGGCCCAGCGGTAATGGTTGCTCCGAGCCTTAGCATATGGCAACCGGGTATTATCATCGGCCGAACGCTACTGCGTAACAAGGATACAGTGAGGGAAAAAAGTATTTGATCCCCTGCTGATTTTGTACGTTTGCCCACTGACAAATAAATGATCAGTCTATAATTTTAATGGTAGGTTTATTTGAACAGAAAAACGCAGGTCAAAAATGTTATAAATTGATTTGCATTTCAATGAGAGAAATAAGTATTTGACCCCCTCTCAAACAGAAAGATTTCTGGCTCCCAGGTGTCTTTTATACAGGTAAGGAGCTGAGATTAGGAGCACACTCTTAAAGGGAGTGCTCCTAATCTCAGCTTGTTACCTGTATAAAAGGCACATGTCCACAGAATCAATCAATCAATCAGATTACAAACTCTCCACCATGGCCAAGACCAAAGAGCTCTCCAAGGATGTCAGGGACAAGATTGTAGACATACACAAGGCTGGAATGGGCTACAAGACCATTGCCAAGCAGCTTGGTGAGAAGGTGACAACAGTTGGTGCGCTTATTCGCAAATGGAAGAAATACAAAAGAACTGTCAATCTCCCTCGGCCTGCGGCTCCATGCAAGATCTCACCTCGTGGAGTTGCAATGATAATGAGAATGGTGAGGAATCAGCCCAGAACTACACGGGAGGATCTTGTCAATGATCTCAAGGCAGCTGGGACCATAGTCACCAAGAAAACAATTGGTAACACACTACGCCGTGAAGGACTGAAATCCTGCAGCACCCACAAGGTCCCCCTGCTCAAGAAAGCACATGTACCTGCCCGTCTGAAGTTTGCCAATGAACATCTGAATGATTCAGAGGACAACTGGGTGAAAGTGTTGTGGTCAGATGAGACCAAAATGGAGCTCTTTGGCATTAACTCAACTCGCCGTGTTTGGAGGAGGAGGAATGCTGCCTATGACCCCAAGAACACCATCCCCACCGTCAAACATGGAGGTGGAAACATTATGCTTTGGGGGTGTTTTTCTGCTAAGGGGACAGGACAAATTCACCGCATCAAAGGGACGATGGACGGGGCCATGTACCGTCAAATCTTGGGTGAGAATCTCCTTCCCTCAGCCAGTGCATTGAAAAAGGGTCGGGGATGGGTATTCCAGCATGACAATGACCCAAAACACACGGCCAAGACAACAAAGGAGTGGCTCAAGACGAAGCACATTAAGGTCCTGGAGTGGCCTAGCCAGTCTCCAGACCAGAATCCCATAGAAAATCTTTGGAGGGAGCTGAAGGTCCGAGTTGCCAAACATCAACCTCGAAACCTTCATGACTTGGAGAAGATCTGCAAAGAGGAGTGGGACAAAATCCCTCCTGAGATGTGTGCAAACCTGGTGGACAACTACAAGAAACGTCTGACCTCTGTGATTGCCAACAAGGGTTTTGCCACCAAGTACTAAGTCATGTTTTGCAGAGGGGTCAAATACTTATTTCCCTCATTACAATGCAAATCAATTTATAACATTTTTGACATGCGTTTTTCTGGATTTTGTTGTTGTTATTCTGTCTCTCACTGTTCAAATAAACCTACCATTAAAATTATAGACGTAATTTCTTTGTCAGTGGGCAAACGTACAAAATCAGCAGGGGATCAAATACTTTTTTCCCTCACTGTATAACTCCTGGCAGTTGTGCATTTTGTTCAACAATTTAACCCATGCCTATACGGATGAAAATTTGAGGTGCGGACTGACCACGCAGCACTGCAATACTCGTTACATATCGACCAACCCTCTGGCCAGATGGATTGAAAGGCTGCAAGTATCCTATGTGGTAGTCCATAGAAAGGGGTTGTGCCACAC